CTATCGGGCTTGCTTCGGATGCTGAATCTGACCTACATTTTCCGGTTGAATGAACAGGTTAAAGTTTTTGGTGTAGGTTTCATTTCCAAGTAACTATGAGACCTATGTTGACCAAATTTGCATGGATGATACATCTAAGGATGCATACTACCGGGCTTGCTTCGGATGCTGAATATGACCTACATTTTGTGGTTGAATGAACAGGTTAAAGTTTTTGGTGCAGGTTTCATTTCCAAGTAACTATAAGCCCTATGTTGACCAAACTTGCATGGATGATACATCTAAGGATGCACACTACCAAGCTTGCTTCGGATGCTGAATCTGACCTACATTTTGCGGTTGAGTGAACAGGTTAAAGTTTTTGGTGCAGGTTTCATTTCCAAGTAACTATAAGCCCTATGTTAACCAAACTTGCATGGATGATACATCTAAGGATGAACACTACCAGGCTTGCTTCGGATGCTGAATCTGACCTACATTTTGCGGTTGAGTGAACAGGTTAAAGTTTTCATCAAGAGATGAAAATTCTCAAATTTGCTTCAGATGCTGGATTTTGATTACATTTTCATGAAGAAGAACTAGTTTAAATTGTTTATGTAGGTCTATTTCAAAGTATCAGATCAAAATTGCTTAAATATTTTCATTTTTGGAATGTACACTTTTTGTTGGTTAATTGTGTGACTTTGCCTCACTTAAAGACAACATTCGTTGAGGTGAGCTCTGTAATCTCTGATTACCTATGTTTGGACTTCTGTAAGATAAACAGCAAATTGTATACAGTTTAAGTTTTAACACTTTGAAAATTAAACTTTTTGTTAATTTTTCAAATGTTTCTTTTTCTTCTTTTTTGACAGATTAGGGCAGATGATACAAATGTAGCCATAAATGAACTTACCAAAGTGACAGGAATAGGGTAAAATCTTTATTTATCTTGTATTATATTGAACTTTGCTTGTTATGATATTATTACTAATTACAGTGTAATTTATTTATTAGACGTTGGTTAATTGTGCATATGTCTTTATCTTTATTCATATTCTTAACTTCTTTTCTGGGCTTCAAAAATCCCAGGTTGAAGAGAATTCATGCTTGATGTTTCCAAAGGGAGATAAGATTGTGAAATTTGGATTAATTTTTGTAGTGAAATAAGGGTTAGGGTATAGCCACTAAGAGATAAAAATAAGACTGCGTGCCTAGAGAATTCAAAGTACCGGATACAGTACCTGATTTGTTTGTATCAATGTTTTACAGACCTGCAGCAGCTCAGAAATTGGTCCAGGATGGAATTACATCGATAGAAGGTCAGTGCATAACTGGACTAGTACTGTATGTGTACTTATAAAAAGGGGGCTTTATATTTTTAGCTGCTTTAACACAGACAAGAATGCTCTTATTCATGACTACCACATAGAAATAATTAAAAAAAATACAATGCACGCTGCAAACATGTATTGCTAATTTATCATACGCCAACAACTCCACTTGGTTATTGCACTAAATTTTTAAAACGCCAATTTATGTACACATACAGTATTTAGTGAAAATAGTTTTCTACATTAGTAATACTGATAAAGATTATTTATTGATGAAATTAGACTTTATTTATCATTATCTGGAGGAAAAAAATTTTATTGAAACTTGCAGATTTTAAGTTCATTATTTGCTTTGAATTTCAGAGTTGAGAAAGCATACAGATAAATTGAATCATCACCAGCAAATTGGATTGAAGTAAGTTTCACTCTAACGTTTAAAATAACTGTACTCTTCTTCCTTGGTGATGCATTACAGTGTAGTGTAAAACATCATTTGCTGTAAAATTGATAGATGATTTTCACTGTTTTGTGATTGAGACAGGTCATGTAACACCTTATATATTTAATTTACAGACATTTTGAAGACTTTGAGAAGAGAATTCCCCGAACTGAGGTGGAGCAGATTCAGGTAGGCACAGCTGTACCTCATTATCTTGAACACTGACATATCGAATACCTGGGGTGTATCAGAGTGTGTTTGAACTTCCAACTAGTAACAAATATATTTTTAATCCTGGTTATCTCAATTCATGGGATATCTTTAAGTTTAATTCAGTGCCATTGATTTTGAGAGAATAAGTTTTTTCTGTATATTATTAAAGTGGATTTATTTTGGATGTTGAAAGATCCCCCCCCCCTTCTGAATTTTGATCTATAATATGTAAGCATTTACCTGTATCTGAACTTGGTAGGTTTAAATTTTGAATTTCATTGGTGCCAACTATTTCTAAGCCAATTCCTCTAAAAGCTTAGTACATATCATACTTTCACAAATGTGCATGTAACACATTATGCATGTATATTTATTCCTTTATTTATGTTTAAGTATGGGCAATTTCATTTTGATTTTTTTTTTCATTGTTGAATAGGACACTGCCTTTAATGAGATAAGAAAGTTAGATGATAAATTTGAAGCCAGGGTTTGTGGCAGCTTCAGAAGAGGTAGGTGAACATGCGCTATATCTTGTCAGAGTTGTTAGAAGAGACAGGTTTGCTAATACGTGTACTAATATTGATTTACTACAGGTGCTGAGTCCAGTGGTGACATAGATATTCTACTAACTCACCCAGATTACACATCTAAAACCAAAGGAAAGGTGAGAGAAAAACAACCAACAAATCCTACTCAATTCAGCTTATTGTTGAAGTATATCTTCTTTACATCCCCTGGGAATAAATCCTTTATATAAATGTAAACTCTATTAGTAAGACATTTTATTTGGAAATTTACTTTGGCGATATATAAAATATTAGATGAATAATAAGATACCTGTATTCCTATTTTCAGCCAGATTTGCTACATCAGGTTGTAAAGAGACTGGAAAAAGTAGGACTAATCACTGACACATTGTCACATGGTGACTTCAAGTACATGGTAACTAACTATTTATTTTTGCCAAGTAGTCATTTTATATCTTAGTAAGTCTCTAACAATCATGCTCTAAATAGAGATTGATTACATATCACAAGTTTTAATGATCAGCACTTTCAATTATAGATTGTTCGCTTATGTTCCAGTCAGTTTCCTAAATTAATTAGGGTTGTAGACCTATGATAAAAGGTTAGGAGAGTTAATATAAATAAGGGAAAAGCTCTTTGATTGTATCCCTAAATTTTTCACGGAGTTTGTCGAGTATTAGATTCTGATTTTAAATTTTACAGGGAGTTTGTCGAGTGTTAGATTCTGGTTCCAGTCCTAGTTCTTCCAAACAGAAGCCATTCAGGAGAATTGATATCAGGTAACACCATGCAGGTTTGAGTGGCAAGTCAATGTCAGCTGAGTTACATAGAAAATGTTACTGTGGAAAAAAAATATTTTGTAAACACTACATTTAACACTGAATTAACTAAATTTAAACAGAAAGAAAAAAATTAGAACAATTTATGGAAGCTATATATATATAACGGCATTATTTCATTATTGTATGTTTTTTTAAAGCATTTTTATACATTTACAGTACCCTGTAATACTCTATGCATGTTGGCCTGAGCTCAGTCTTTGATGGGTGTTTATAATTTTTGTAACACAGGTTGATTCCCCATGACCAGTACTACTGTGCATTGCTGTACTTCACTGGAAGTGACATTTTTAATAAGAATATGAGGGCCCATGCCCTGGAAGTGGGGTTCACGTTAAATGAGTATACCCTGAGACCTCTGGGTAGCACAGGTAAGGCTTGCAGGTCAAGTCAAGGTGTATCAGAACACCTGTAAATGCCTACACAACTACATGCATTTCTTTTGATGGTTTTGTCATTCAAATTTATATTGTGCTATATCCTTAAACAAATTGTTTGTTTCAATTATTTTTTTCAAAAAATGAAGAAAAAATGTGATATGCATCTCTGCAGCATCCAACCTTCCTAAGTTATGTTTCCTTGGTGTGCTGCAAGTGAGGGAAAGATGCTTTTATTTAAAATGAAAACAAATGAGTCTTTTTCAATTTCTTTGGATGTGATAACTTCAGTTGAGTGTGGTTTTGTAGGAACACCTGGGGAACCCTTGCCAGTAACGTCAGAGGAGGACATTTTTGACTACCTAGGGATGGAATACAAAAACCCTTCACAGAGGATCTCCTAGTCTATTTAACCCTGTCATCAACTCAAACAATGCATTAATGAGGCCAATTATCCAATTCAATCACAGCCTTATAAAACAGTTATAACATTTGTTAATGAATTTTCTTCTCATGTTTTAGAATTTCTTGTGTTGTAGAAGAGTTATGAATGTCTTAAATGTTCACTTGTATTCAATTGTGTGTTAGTTGCGAGTTTATGTATTGCAAGTTACTTTTATAATTATATATTATTCACTGCTTGTTTGATGCCATGAACGTTGTATTTTTCCTGTTGAATGTTTATAATACATCTACATTGTTTGATATTGTGTCTGAGACAAGAATTCCCCCCTGGCGTTCAATTTATATGTGTCCATACTTTGATCTGGCAGCTATTAAATTTTCACTGTTTATTTGATTGTATAACAGAATCATCCTACTTAAGATTTATTGTAAGTACATCAGGTGAAATGGTCAATATTGACAGGTTAACCTCTGTTATTGAAAATACGTCAAGTTTAGAAGGAAATGGTAGTATTCTTTCACAAACATACTGTATACAGGGAAATTTTTGCCCCCGTTTTATTTTCGCCCCTTTCGCCCTACCCTCATTTGGGCGAATTTAAAATGGGGCGAATTTAAAGAATACAATATAATTTCTTAAACAAACTATGTCTGGGCGAATTTAAGACGGGGCAAAATTGTTTGTAAGTGTGAAAGGGCGAAAATAAGATAGGGCGAAAATAACCCTGTATACAGTATAACAAAAAATGTATTGGTTTGGGAATGAAATACACATATGGTTTATTGTTGTAGTTCATCTATTTTAGTAACTTGCAGACTATGATTAGTACATATACCCTGCTGTATGTTTAGTTGTTTTACCACAAAAAATTCTACATTGTTCCAGCATCCAAGTTACAACAGCCATGATGTGTTCTTTTGTAAATCTGCTAAGCATATTTGATAAATTGTAGTATATATATAATGTAATCCATGATATAGAAATAAAAGTTCTATAAATATTACGCAAAGTATATCTCATTTATGTACTGATTTGTTTCCAAGAAATGTGCCTTCCTTTTTGTAATGAATGTATTGGCTTAACAAGTGGACATAACTCTTGTCAGGAGAATTAATTGTTCATGATCCTCCCTACTCCTACTTAAAAAGAGCCTCAGTTAACTGCCCTACGCTCCTTAAATACAACAAAGCCTGAAGTATCTCACTGTGAACCTCTAGCATGTTGCAGTAGTTCCACCCAAGAATGAGTCATTGTCAATACATGTACGCTATAAATAGGATTACCGATCCTGGAATTTATCTGTCCTTAATGGATTTTCAGACCAGTTTCAATTATCATTTCAACAAAATATACATTACATATTGAAATATGAATAGCATTTGGGAAAAATGGGATAAATGCACTGAAAATTAATTATCCAAAAAATGTGAAAGCTTCATTGCACAGATACCTCACCTGGGTAAAATGATCGAGACTTTTCGAGTATACATTTTTAGTGAAACAAAGTAGAATGATCAGCCACATGTTGATATTAATTTCTTGGAAATATTGTATAGTAAGATATATGCATTTATGTGTTGAGTTTATTGTTTAAGAGTTCCTTTTAATTTGGCAAAAAATGTCAATGGCAATTAACTGGTGTTCATCCATTTTCTACAAAAGATTTAAACCCCAAAATTTTCTGGGAAAAATTACAACTTAAATTTATGATACACCAGACTTTAGTGAAAAGGAAGACTTTGACGTTCACAAACTTTTGCTTGTTTTCATTGTTATCCAAAAAAGGCTAAATTCTTTTGTATCTAAGCTAATATGGCTGCACCTTTTCCCGATTTCAAATTTTCTACGGTGATAATGGTCATTCCCTGAATAATTCTTCTTTCTCTCTAGCCACATCATTTGAATCTGTGCACTTATTTCAACATACTCTTTTACCATCCATAATAGCCTTAACAACCATGTAATAAAAAGAAAGAAAATTTGAAAACTTTTTAAAATTATTTAATAACGACAAATCAATAATGACTTTTGTTTACAGAGAAAACTCCTGCATAATCCACGGTGATAACTTTCTGGAATCTGCTGCCCTATTTCCTTTTTCGTTTTATTTAATTCGTAGACGATATCGCTCCATGTGGAATGTTGCCCAGATCTTGACAACTCAGCATGTCTGACGCGAGGCCGGACAAAATCTTAACAAAATATGCACCAAAAAATCCTGTAACAAAACTAGGTCTGAGTTTATAAAACTTAGTTCAACAAAATCCTTAGATCCTAAGTAAATCAGGATGTTAAAAAAATTGAGATCATACAAACAGTAATTCACTGTCCATGTATGTCTAAAGTCTTAACAAACATAAAATGGTCACTTTGATGATCCACGATTTAAATGCAATATTCCATGTATTTCTTAGAACACAAAAATATCTGAAATCACATAATTTGCTTCTAGATTATTAGTTCTCATTTACAGGTCCAAGTATTTCTTTTTTCAATCAATTTGTTTCTTCCACCAAAATGTTTCTAATTACTGATGGTTCACAAATGGCACCAAAGTTAGGAAGATGTCCAAAATACTTGAATTTCAGGACGGAAAATCTGCATGAAGCTTGAGAATGTATAAAACTGTTGCTGTCAATCATTTTACATTACCGAATAATTTACAATACCTCACTGTTTCAACCTTAACAAAACAAATTTATTTTAAGATCAAAATACATCAATACAAATGTACAAATACTGTACAAAGTTTTGCAAAATCAACATACTGAACGTGTTCTTATTAAATCTGCATGACGAAATAAAAAACCTGCCGACATTACTAATGCAAAAAATCAATCTTTCATCTAAAATAATCTCTTTGGCTGTTCAGACTTAGACTTTTGCTTTCCTCAACCAGTCTTTTTTCCAAACCTGACTTAATAGCACCCGAAATAAGATAACGACATGCAAATGTATACACATAATTATTACATTATAGTACACCTGGATTTTTCCGTCTTGTGAAAATGTACAATTATTTCAGAAGAATGAAGGAGGTACTGAATTGAAAATCACACTAAATATAAACATGTCAAGTACGAAATATGACTAAGTCATAATGGAGTTATCTACACATAAACGTCTTCTGGAAAATAAAAGTACAGTCCTATAGATAACTGAAAGGCATTATGGGTAGTGTGTCACTAGATGTCCATCTCAAACTGGGGCTGATCCTCATGGCCCTCTATAAATAGAACAGTACACAACTTGATATTTAATTTTAAAATGTGATTTGCAAAGATAAGATATATTTAGAACTTGATTAAAGTTTATATTTCAAAGGGGGTGTTGTAAAATTGTGAACTTAAATTTGTTTTTCCCATGTAAAAATATATTTATGCATGGGCAAGTATACATGAACTTTTCCTGCCATATTTCCTACGCACGCCAGCACATTTTGGGCAGGTGCTTTTCGACAAGTTTTCTTTCACTTGGTTTGCAGGAACCTTAATAGATCAATTTTTCAGGTTTTGAGAGAGGACTTCAATACAACAAAATGAGAATCTTCCAAATATCAATAATAGGTAATTAGGATATTGACTACCTTTCTTCTTTTGGTTTTCGTCGTGGACAATGTCCGTCCCGTTCTCCTTGGGGATGTTCTCAGAGGCTGGCGCTGTGACCCCGGGGATCTTGGCCATGTTGGGAGGAGGACTTTTTGTCAATGGTGAGTTCCGACATTTAAGCAAAAACGATCTGTCATAGAAAATCTTTGTACCTAAAATGAGAAAAATATTTTTGAATTTCTACTTCTTTGCATGACTTTGTATTAAAAACAAAGAAATTGAAAGAGTTGAGTGGTGGACTTTTATGAGGGCATAATCAAAAAGTTAAGAAATCTCTTATGTTGTAAAATCTAAAAAAAAAAAAGGACATAATAATCATCATTAAAGTACACTTATAAAGATAGACAGTAGTATTAGTTTATTTCTATTTGCAAGGTAGTCCCTAAGACAGGGGCTGGGGAATTTTCCTGCCTATGAATATAATGAAACAATCCCTCCATTATTCTGTATTCCCCTAAACCCCCTCGTAGTGGAGAAACCCCACATCCCCTTCTACTTTTTTAATGTCCCCTGCTATTTATAACTAGGGACAACACTGTATTAGTCACCAGTATGTTAAATGATTTATAAAGGATGAGTCTCACTTCTATTTCCATAAAGATCAAACTATTGTGTTTATTGGATGCACCACATGAACTGATCATAACCTATTAATATTTATGAGATAAATGCAGGAATATCCTTAAAAATCTACTTTCCATATGACAGTTATTGCATCATCCTTTGTTTTGTGTAACGACTTGTGGCAAGAATTGATAAAGGGAAAGATTATGCTGACACAAACATTTACTGGGTCAATTTGTCTGTCAGTTTCTAAATATAAACTTTTCAGGATAAGCCAAAATATAGTAGGTCAAATATCCTCTTCTAAAACTGCTTACATGTAATATTAATGACAATTATTATCCCCAGATGCAAACCTATCACCCTCTGAGAATAACAAATCCTAAGGGTCATAAAGATGTTAAGCTTATTCCTTGTTATTTTAATGCAAACTGCTTGCAATATGTCCAAGAAAAAAACTTTTTAAGCACACTGCACTTTTCAGTATATATTATATGCATTATATGATCACTTTAGATCCATATATTCTAGAGAGAAAGAACCCTGAACTCTTTAATCTAAATATGATTAATAGAATAGAGAATATTAAAATTTGAGGAAGTTTTTTGTCACATGCAAAATGCCAAACTTGAAACATATGATAATAAAACTTAATGATAAATCTTGGCACTTATCAAAATATATGTATATAGGACCAATTTATCCTTAATCTGGGACAACAAAGCTCTGAACAGTGGAGTATTTTCAATGTAAGGTTAATCACAACATGTTAAGAGTAATTATACGTAATTAAATTTTATTTAGTAAACAGTCCAGAATAGCATATTCAATGATCATTTTCATTGTTTAATTTGCTTTATCACTGGGAGGGGGTATTGGGTTAAGGGGGTGGGTGGGTTAATTCCCCCTTTGCTGTGGATATTAATTCCAAAATTGGTTCCAATGCAGTTGAAAATATGCAAAACTTGAAGGACAGTTAGACACCTATTGACATGCCCTAACTAATGACATGCAATTCAAACCAATGTGCTAGCTTTTCTTAAAACCTGATAACTATTGTCTTTGATGCAAAAACTCTATAAGCAAGTAAAAACTGGAACAATGCATGTAACTATGAGTAAAATGAAATGGTAAGACTGCGATGGAATCATCGTAGCTATTCGCACCATATGATATGCTACAAAACTTGAAACGCATTTCAGCAACAAAACATTGTGACGTCACATGCCTGCACAGTAAGGAGCACATGGTCGGGCGTGTGCTATCTAAACGCAAAAATATTAATTTTTCTATGTACATGCATTTACCTAGATATTTACTCTGCTACTCAAATGACACGAAATTTGATGGTTACGATGCTATTAAACACATCATTTTGCCGAGAAAAACAAAATATCACGTGGTCATGGCTGTCAGCCATATTGAAAAAAAAATATTTTGTTTACTTCGCAAAATAACAAATGAATTACAAAAGAGCATGCACATTCCTCAACAGGAGGTGGAATAAATTATACATCATTTAAAAACAAACAAGAAAATGAATTTAAGAAACCCTACCCCCAGGCGTTGTCGAGAAAATGGACCCTCCTGGTGTGGTGCTATAATCTTGAGGTAGTTGAGATAAATCGTTCAAAACTGCTCTTTTTGGAATCTCCCGGCCTGAAACAAGTTGTTGTGGCGAGCCCTGGGATGACATTGTTTTATTGCAATAATTATTTCTTAGTTAAGCTCCTTGCCAGCTGTTGACAGTCTCTTTCTTTCGGCATACACTCTTTCGACTTTCCCTGTTTATGTTCCGACCACAACAGTGTCAACACTGTCACATGGTCTGGATGACGTCATCCAAACTTCCTATTCAGCTTGCTGCGGTTAGGGGTCATATCAAAATGCGAAAAATCTGACGTTTTATGTCATTTCATAGTTATTTCTTTTAAGGTAGGATTCTTCTCATATTTCTAATATTTGAAAATTAATGAAATTTTCACAGAATCAAGAAGACAATATCAGTAAGTGATAGTATCAGTGAAATTAAATTTGACCGTTTTATATTAGAGGCAAGGTCAGGTCAAGGTCATTATCTTTCTCCTTGACATTAAGAATAAAAAATAACTGTTGCCAATCATGTGATACCTACTTTTATTTCAAAAGTTTAATGATTGTTCTTTTTGTATAAAAACATATTACTATATCGGGTCTATAGCATGATATTACAAAATTTACATAAATAATGTAACTTAACTGGATATTGGTTAATCCGAATTTTCTCTGTTTTTCTTAATTTTTTAGGATATATTAGTTATTTTCATATGCTTCCTATATTTAACTTTTTCTTATTTTCACATATAATCAAGTAGTATTATAAATGTACAAAATGATACAAAAACAAAAAGTTTTGATCGTTTACTAAGAGAGAAAAAATACTTTTTATGGATTTTTGGCTCAAATCTGCACTTTGATAGGAAGCGTTTAAAAGCTAATAAAGTTCTAGTTTATTTGAAAAATCATATTTATTTGATATCTTTTGAAAGTTTAGTCCCTCATTATTAATCTAACTTACATTTGAAAATTTCTCCAAGTCTTCGATTGTGTAAAAATTATAACTAAATTCATTGTTCTATTATAATTTTGAGAGGCAGAAAAGAAGATATTTTCATACGCCACCATTCCGCCAAAAATATAGTTCCTGCTGGTTTTCAAACACAGTTTACCATTTCTATTTAAAGTTGTACAATTATGATGAGGAAAGAAAAATATGGTCTTTTAAATTCCTTACACCTCAATATGTAAGACATATAAGCAAATATGCTTTGAATGTTTCATCTTGTCAGAAACCAGAGAAGAATCCTACCTTAATTAGACAAATCTAAATTGTTTTAAAATATAGTCGTTGGATATATAAAATGTTTTCTGAATCATACTGGGGAAAAAGGGGTTCACATGTATTAAAATCATCTTATTGAAACACTAAGGGGGTGGGGGGATGGGGGCTATTAGTATAGGTTCTAATATTGGATTAATTGATCGCATGTTGTTTAACGTTCCTTTTAACCCATATGAAGAAGCCACCACTTGCCGAAGGAGAGCTGCAAATTTTGTCCTATACTCGACACTCAGGGCCATTGAGAAGTGAGGGATCTTTCTCGTGCCAGCTACTGCTACACGGGACCTCTGTTTATACCCGTGGTCTCATCCGAAGGACCGGTGTCGTATAGTGAGACTTCCCACATAGTGAGGCTTCCCCCGGAAGGCTCACTATATAGTGAGTCTTCCCCCCCGGAAGGCTGGCTATATAGTGAGCCTTCCCCCCGGAAGAATGGCTATACAGTGAGACTTCCCCCACGGAAGTTTCACTATATAGCCGTTCTTCAAGGGGGAAGACTCACTTTATAGCCAGCCTTCCCCCATTCATAGCGAGACTTCCCCCTCTTATTATAGTTTCCGGAACATTGTTTTATTATTCAAAAAAATTCTAACAGTGTTAATTTATGACGAAATTATCTTCCATATATATACAGTGTACATGCATATATATATTTATTTTATATGCATGAACAGTTTGAATATCGTTTTAACTGTTTGATATCCATTGTAACATATGCATGTACATTGAGATGATATAATATATATAATGTGTATACCCTTTCCTTTACTTGTATTGATAACGAATAATTTTATTAGTTCACGAGTCACTTATATGAAATGTTCTGATTGTTTTCAGCATTTGAATAAAAAAATATTGATAGCATAGTTTTGTTTGTTTGTTTTTCTGTTTGTGTACAAACATTAGCTATTTATACATTAGATATGGTTCAACCGATTTAATAAAAAATGTAGCGAAAAGAAGAAAAAATTATAGTACTTTAAGACTATGCGAGAAATAAAATAATTGTGCTCGAATGTGAAAAATAAAACATGCATTCCAAATCTCAGTTATGATTTTCTTAGTTCCTAACTATATTTATCGAAAGTTTCATGTACATAAAGTTTAGCTGCAGATCTGTAGCTCTCCGAAAAAATATATTGATATCAATATATTTTTTTCCGGAGAGCTACAGATCTGCAGCTAAGTTTAAATCTACTTTAAGGATAATTTTAAGCATCATTTAATAGATATGCTGAAATGTAAAATTGATGGGAAAATATTTCATTTACTTTATCCACAGGGACGTTTACAATATTAAAGACTTCATAGATCAGTGGTTCGACAAAAATTTACACTACAGCACATAAATCTCAGATTATTATGAAAGGTCCGTAACTGATCATGATTCAAGGATGTATTCGCTTTAACAAAAGAATTGACCTATAGGAGAGAACAATTTCCCGGAAAAAATGACATTTAAAAATCAATCTTTATTTGTTGTTTTCTACCGTATATATGTCTAAATTTTTTAAATTTGTATTTTATACCTAAAATTTATTATTTACAACTTTACAATAAACCTCCAAAGTTGACCGAAACACCATTTTGTTAGTTAAAGCGTTGATTTTTGCATGAATTTTGGCCTTGAAGTCCATCAGGGCAGGCCTGCCCCTAAATAAAATTGTGATATTTTGATAGGTTAAGATGTAAGGAATAATTTAAGATAAGATTTTTTGGGGGGCACCCCTGCCCTGAGGTCGAAATTCACAAAAAACCTGTAAAAAATAAGGAAACCAGATTTTCACAATCTGCTTTAAATTTCTGCCTTTCATTATTATAGTCAGACTAGCTCAGTTGATATATGAGCTGACTTTTATACCTTGGATACTCTCTTTTTAAAGTCGGGGGTTCGAATCCACTTGGTACAACACTTATAAAGTTTTTAATTTCGCCTTTTCAAAGACTATTTTAATTTTTTTTTTTAGACTTGGATAATTTTTCTTCAATTTTCTATCCCTTATGCATGCCCATTCTTGATATAAGAAACACTAAAGAGATATCAAATCGTAACAATCCAATGTACAGTTGTCAGTCAGGTGGAACGAACCTCAGAATAAGCACACTTTCTCCGAGGACAAGAATAACTCACTGTGTGTTACTCAATATGGGTATTCTTGGCAGCATTGAGCTGCGATGAATTTCAATTGTATATATTCCTTAGAATTTAATCACATTGATTTTTGCTACAGTAAATGCACTCCCTTGGATTTCATTTAAGCCTTTATAATTTGCACACATTAATGACAAGTTTTTATTATATCCACGGATAAATAGCCTAGACATAAAGAATAGAATTTCAGAGACAGTAGACATTACCTTTCTGCACAATGAGAAGTAAAGACAAATATCAATTATTACATTTGGAGATAACAAATCAGAAAATCAATAAAAAGGGTTCCTCCTATCTCTACTCACTGTAATAAAGATTTAGGAAAAACAAATTGTTATATGTATACAGCCTAATGTCATTAATCAGAACGGAAATCGACAAGGTTTTTGTAGAGAATAAAACCAAGCCCGGTCCTATAGGTCAGATCCCTATTTATAATGAAGTGATCCTTTGCTGAAATCACGCTCCTGAGAGTCAGTGATTTGAGCGCCGTGGTCGTTTCTCTCCAACTGACGAAAACCAGTATGCACGCATTTTATAAAACAAACTTTAAAATTATTACAACTTTATATATTAAATATAAGCAGATAAAACCCGTTTTGATAACAAAAAATATTGGAAAAGTAATACTTCACCGATTTTCTTGAAATAATATATTATTTAACTCAGGATCAGAGGCGCTTAGATTTATTTTTTATTAAACACATATATTTCAGAACATATACGTAATTTTATTTAACCTAACTTAGGAATTTAAAATTAAAAAAAAAATACAATATAGGAATGACTAAAATATACATGTTTAATATGTATTTTGCATAATTTTATTGAATATCTTCTCCCCCTCTCTCTCTTTCTCTACTAATATATGTACATGTATTTCTCTCATTGTGATTTTTTTTCAATTCTGTCTGTCCGTCCGTAATACGTTATTTTTGTCCCCCGCTTGAAAAGTGGGGGATATTAATTTGGGTTTGTCCATCCGTCCGTCTTTCTGTCTGTCTGTAACGCTTTCTTTTCCACACGATATCTCGAGAACCCTTTGAGCTTTTGCAATGAAATTTAGCATAGCAACTCCCTATGGACTAAAGAAAAACCCTATTGATTTTTAGGTCAAAAGGTCAGAGGTCAAGGTCATAAATAAGCAAATTCTGTCTGTTGTAACACTTTCGTTTGCACACGATATCTCTAGAGCCATTTGAGCTGTTGCAATGAAATTTTACATAGCAACTCCCTGTGGCCTAATGAAGACCCCTATTGATTTTGAGGTCAAAAGGTCAAAGTTCACGGTCTTATTTATACATTCTGTCTGTGTGTAACACTATCATTTCCGGGCGATATTTCAAGAAGATTTTGAGCTTATGCAATGTAATTTTATACCAAAACTCCCTAGGACCTCTCTCACCCCTCTCAAAGTGCCCCGCTCCGTTTGTTTTATTAGTATTTATAGTATTACATGTCGCTATTTTTAGCACATGGGGCATGAGGAGAGTTATTGCGTATAAAACAGGTTCTCGGCGGACATTTTGTTCTTATTACATCTATTAGAATTAACTGTTCAATGTTACCTTATGTTACCTTATGTTGATTCTGCCCGCAGCTCCTCTTGGTGCTCTATAGGCAGCTCTACCTTCTCTTGCTGAAATATAACTGGTCTTTTTCCGGTATGCGGTCCATATTCTTGGGTATAGTCATACTTTAGAGGGTGGTGTTCCCAATATTTATCCAGTCTATTTTCAAATTGGTGTACATTTTTTGCTAGCACTACATTGTCTGGCAGGCTATTCCACAG